CTGATTATTTATTGGATGTTTATCTTAAAATCATTATGCCGTCGATTAAATCCTCGATGGTGCGAGTCCTGTTCGTCGCGAGGTTGTTAAAATCGATAATGCAGGAGAGCAAACATTGCGAGAGATAGACAAAGAGAGAGAAAGTAGGACAGATGAATAGATAAATAGATAGAGAGATAGATAGATGCATGTGAAGAGAACGAAATGTATATCATCAAAACTCAGAGAGAAATTAATTAACGTATTTATTAGTTGTCGTGATGTCATCGATTGGATAAAGCGACAATTCAGTATTATTTGATAACGCATAGTTCATCGATTTATGATTACAATCTCGCATAAAGCGTGCCTCTCGCCGGTATCGAGTATCTCGTGCCGCTAATTAATTTATGTAATCCGAAGTCGGCTTCGCGTTGCGCTGATTATTGAAATAAAGAACAATATCCGGGGAGTTTATTTCGGTTTACAGACAGAGCCGTCTGTCGTAGATTTCTAACCGAATTCTTCCACGCGCGCGTTCAGAATTTATTTCACGCGAAAACTGTTGGAATCGATTTTTCAATAGCAGTTAACTTACTCTGATGTACTGTTAAACTTCGTTTAAACTCATCAAACGCATTGTTAGGACAGAGTTTAAATTTAAAATCTAAGTTTCAATTACATGGAGAAAATGTAGTGAAAATTACATTAGTGTTATGTTTCCCTCTACAATGTATTTTGTAAAATTGAAATTGTATAAATATTAGGTGCTAGCAAAAGTTTATAATGTCACAAGATGGCTGTAGCAGCGACTTAGTAATTGTTTCCCTTTAAGTTGTTTCTTGATTTTTAAATGTTGGCTCTACTCGATCAGAGAATTAATAGTTGACAATTTATAGTTTCAAACAAAACGTTACACTTAGTGCGATTAAAGATGAAACCAGATCTCTGCATGCTTGACTACTTTAATGGAAGTGAAACTACTGTAATAATTAAAAGACTAATTTGTGCAACCTATAGAAAGAATATTGTGTCCGCTACTGTCTGTGAGATGTGATTTAAATTGTTTAGAAATGATGATTACGATGTCAACGAAAACCATTCTGATCGTCCAAACGAGATGGAGAATAACGAATTGAAAGTATTACTCAACGAAAACTCAGCCAAAATATTAACAGAACGGCAGCTTGAGGTTGATGAATCAACAGTATCCCGGCATTTGAAAGTAATGGAAAAAATCCAAAAGGAAGAAAGATCGTTTTCCCAGGAACTTTTTGCAAACGCAATTGCAAATCAGCTTACCATCTCTATCTCTCATTGCTTGCCGGACACAAAGAAAAAGATTTTTTGTGGCGGGAATTTATGAGTAATAAAAAATGGATCTATTTTGATAATCCGCGAAAAGTCGTGAATTAATCTCCGCCAACCATCGACATCCACAACAAAATGCAACATAAGTTTCTTTTGTGTATCCGCATGTGTAGAAATTTAAGCAGGGAGATAGTCAGTTTTCCACATTTATCACTAGAATCTGGCCAGAAAACTCTGTTTGAATCCGGCTGGGAAACGTTCGACTTTTAATAGGAATTCTAGTCAGAAAAACTGATAGAGACCCAATCGAACTTACTAGCCGGATTCCTCGTCGATATTTGAATTATTATTTTGAACTATAGTGAGAGAAATAAGAAATAAAATTCTAAACTGTTCTAAATGTTTCCTAGTATTATTCTTTATATATTTTTGTAGCAAAACATCTAACTTGCATATCATTTTTAAATAAATATGTTAATGTAAATAATTTCGATTCATAATTTCATGTGATCCAAAATTACAAAAATTTTGTTGTAACTGTTACTAAAATATTTTTTCTCATGTGCTGTTATATAAAAAATCGGCCTTTAGCTAAGTAGGACAGAAAATCACGATGACGTCAAAATGACGAGAAAATAATCGAATCGTGATTGCAAAGTGAGTTTTTTGTCATCTTTTCGTCATTTTGACGTTATTGTGATTTTTTCTTCCCTCCGAGCAGTGATCCAAGAGCAAGTATCCTCAGTGCGATAAATTTTTGAACACAATGAGACTAGCGAAGTCATATAAATTCATATGAATCATCAGTGTTTAATTATGCGGTTAATGCGGTATTACAATTATTTATAATTTTAGTCATTAAATTATTATAACGCTGCTGGTATTAATTTCTGTTCACCGGCCGATGTAATACTGTGAACGCGCGTCATTCGTATTAAAATACGGACGTTTAATTATTTATGACGTTCTCCCGCCGCAATAAAAAATGCTGAACACGCGCTGAACACGGCCGATACGATCGGCCGCGGCAGCTACTTTTACGTATTCCTAATTTATGCGGTGGCTTCATAAATTGCGCAATTCCTTTCGCGTAATTTCGCCGCGTAATCATGATTTATACTCTTTACACGAACACATACACACACACACACACACACACACACACACACACACAGACAGACACACGTGCACAGATATGGTGCAGCACGCACAACTCCGAGAACAAAGCCGCCATCACGTTAAAGTCATTAATATCACTTTACCCTTTCATTGCCGCTGCGAGATCGTACCTCGCCGGAAAATGATAAATTCCACGTCTCAGGATACTACTCGTGGCCTGGATACCGGTAACTGTCTGTCGTTTCACGTCGATCCTTCCGCCCAACGCGGTAACTCGATCTCTTTCAGTGCATCAATTCGAGAGATAGAGGGAGAAAACGAGGGGCGAACGCCGCGGCAAATGCGCTTACAAAAATCGATGACGACCGACGACGGGAAGTCCATCGCGTCTGCTTTTGTGGCCGGTTCATTTCGACCGGGCTAAAATCTTAATTGTCCTCGTCGATTCGCGAGAAAAATCACTTCCCACCGAAAATTCAGATCTGGGAATTCTCGCTTGCTTGATTCCCTACGCTCTCTATGCGATTTGTCTCTGCGTTAAATCGAGCGAACAACTGGTATGAAGCATGCGAAATTCAGCGAAATGAAGTGATTTTTAAATTAAGGTCCATTTTACTTGTCGATTTGGTTTTATTTACTTTTGAATCTTGAGATCCTTAGATTGAATTCTCATTAGTTTAATTGGCAAATTTAATAAAACAATCCTTCAACTAAGTCATTTCGTGTTATATTAAGAATAAAAAAGACAATAAGATCAGATTTGCTAATTAGAAAAATAAATAGACGCGGATAGACTTTTATCAGTTTGATCAACGAAGCTGATATGAAACGACTAACTGTATCACTATTTGTGACACCGAAAATTCGCCATAGAGAAACTTGTTCCGCAATCGACACGAAATAGGACAGCTCTGCGTGCATTCTCTCTCTCTCTCTCTCTCTCTCTCTCTCTCTTTTTCCTCCTTTTCCTCTCTTCTCTTTCTCGACGACCTGATTATTAGAAAAGCTCTAATTGTCGGGAGCTTTTAATTGAGTGATTATCAATTTTGTACATTCGAAAAATCTGGATTACTTGTTTCATACGAAACAAGCTAGATACTCAAATCGCCGAATATACTAGTGAATAAAAGAGATCTAACAACTGGATATAAATGACGATCGAATTGGAATTTAACGAATGTATTTCCATTGCTACCCTCTTCCTAACTGCTCTGTCTCTCTTTCTCTCGTTCCCTCTCCGTTTTATCAGTCCCTCCTCTTGGCTGGGATATCTCTGACGGCGGGAGATTTATGTACATATTTTTCCGCGCTAGACCTGTCCGTTTTTACAATTTAAATTTGCTCCTTCTATTTTCGGGTATAGCTGCTTATTTGAGTATGTGTATCACTAACTTGAATTTCTACCCGGACAGTTCTTATCACATTGCGTCATGCTGTCCTCAATGTTCATTTATATGCGCTGGATATACATGTGTATGTTTAGAAAAAATAATTTATCTGAGTGCGGCAAAGAAACTGTCGACGATGTTCTTCTTTTTGTTTGACGATAAAATAATTCACGCTGCTTGTTACAATTGCCGCTTACAGCTTTGACTCACTTGATTAAAACGCTCTAACGTTACGAATTATATAGTTTCGTACTAATAATTGTCACTTGAAGCTTACCTTGAGATTTAGACTTAAATTTGAATTTTTACTTGAATCACATATATACGCGACATTATATATCTAATCGCGGTTTAATTGAAAAATTGACATCTGACTCTAAGTTCAAATTTGAATATTTCACCTAAAACGAGTTTCAAGTAACGACTATTAACACGGACCATAGCCTCGCAGCTATTGAGAAAATGGCCTGTGAACTGGATTATTGAATCCAAAATCTAACGGGCTGCTTCTCTTTATCTTCGAGCCTCCGAGACACTTCCTCATAGTCGAGACAAGAGAGAGCCTTTAAGGAGATTTATCAGTCACGACGAGAAAAGTGGGCATTAGCCGGGTATTAAGAGCGCAAATAAGAGCGCCGTGTTTAGTACGACGGAGTACCCGGCAGCGAGTAAATTGTCTACATTTTTCAAGCGTTTCCCTGATATTTGCCCTCCGCGTTTCCCGCGCTGCGTTTTATCCGCCTAGAGAGACAAACGCGGAGATATACCGTGACTCCGCCGTTCGTTCGTTTATTCGTTCGTTCGTTTAATTCCAGGGAATTAAAGTGAATTAAGAAATTAAAGTAGATCGATGAATTAAAGCAAATGAGATTTAAAGCGAAATTGTGAAGATGGTGAGTGAGGAAAGAAATATCTATGCGGCTATATTTATGTACTATCAACTTAAACTACCCGACTCGCGCCTCTTATATCTAGAATATCTAAACTTAAATTGCCATAAAGTGTTAAGGAAAATCAGGAGAAAGGGGTGAAGTGTCCAGGTTTCATGGCAGTCTATTTTTTCCGCGGGGTCTCAGGAAGTAATTGTGCAAAATTTTGTTCAAATCGGTCAAAGGGGTTAATAGGGAACATATAAGGGTTAATAAGGAGACATTCTATTTCATATATATGTATATATATATAAATGAGAAGAGTGAGACTCACCGATGGTCGTTATCACAGTGAGAGAATACAGGAAGGCGCCCGCGAAAGTCCATTTATTTTCTTCCACGCCGTCGTATCCATCTTTTATGGCCGACACCACCTTCTTCTGGTAAATCTCGAGAATCTCCCGCACCTTTGCCTTCCACACCTTTTCCGAGAACACGTTCTCCTGCACGCGACAACGCATCAACGCTATCAGAATACGATGAAAGGAAATGTTGCCATCAAAAGAATAGAGAAAAACCCGACGAGAGTCTAGTTTTTAAATGGACATTAAAACGATTGTATATACATGCTCATGTACGCCACAAAAAAGAATTAATAATTAATCAATTAATTTACTTCTCTGCGCGATCCTAACGATCACGTGGACAAGTTCTAGTTGGCTGCTTAAGTAAAAGTGTCAATTCCTAGACGTGTACATTGTGTTTAGACATAACGAAATTGATGCCTCAGAAATATCGGAAATGAAAATCATTACCGACGGGCTCGCACATCAATTATATTATATGTCGTTATTTTCATTATTAATTATCATTATTTACCATTATTAATTAGACTATTAGTTATATATTATTAAGCCCGTCGGTAATGATTTTCAATTTGAACAGTTTGATGAGCTCCCGAATTTACATTGTGCCTGAGCCATCGCTCTGCGACCGATTATACATCGCGATAGGGCGACTCCGTCGAGTAAGAGGAATAAATCCTTTACCTTGGAGGTCAGCTCCCAGAGGGTGACGGCCGTCATGTTTCTCAGTCGGATGACATTGTCGGCGACGTCCGAGCTGGTCTCACCCTCAATGGAGATGAACAGGAAAGCGCCCGCTATAGTGTAGCCGACCACGAGGCATACGATGCCGACGTTGCTGAAGAGGAAGGCTATCAGGGCTCTGGTCCAGTCGGCGATCCTCTCAGGCCAGGACTTCCGCCTGCGTTTCCGCCGTCTTCCGCTCCGGCTGCGATAACTTCCACGCTGCCAGCTCCTGCTGGTCGACGAGTGGGACGGTCTGTCCGTCTCCATCGGCGGCGGCGGCGGCGGCGGTGGTGGTGGCAGCGACGACGACGACGACAGCTCCTCAGGACCGTCACCGACTCGACTGGGTCACCTCGTGCTGATTCGCAGACATCGCTTCCGGCTCGCCGAGCACGACGAGCAGTCCTTTTCGTGCGACCACGTGAATCGCCTCGACTCGGGCCTTTGATCTTCGCTGTCGGGGATGATAGGCTACAACGCGCTGACAGACCACGTGCTCACCGCGGGAACACACATTGTCGCGCGGAAGCCGAAGTCGAAGAATCGGCCACGTCACGCGTCATCTCCCGATGGCCGGAAAAGAGATTTTCGGAAGACTTGCTTGACTAAGTTGGCAACCGAATAAATGATCTCGCCGGGGCGAGAGTATTTTTGCTCGCCTTACGTATAGATAAATGAAAGCTTTTTCTAGGGCAAGCTTTCTAAAAACGTTACGGTAATACTGAAAAATGATAAAGTGTATATGGGTATTCTTATCAGCTTTTCCCGGCCACTAGGTTAACACGAAGGTTTACTCGCGCTGTCACGGAGTATAATTAATTAGTCATCGTAACTCCGACGTCTGTCCCCGCCATTGGTCTTAAAATTGAAGTATTTTCTCCGTCATACACGGAGAATATGTTGTATTAAAAATTCCATTAAAAATATATATATTTTTTTTACAATGTTTTTTGCGAAGCTAGACTATATGTCATCCTATATGAAATAGTGTGCACTGAGAGAAAGATATCTAAGAAATGAAATACTTTTATTCGACAAACATTAATAACATATTTAAGTATATAAAACATTTTTCACATAAGAATATACACTTTCTGAAAACTTTAGCTCTTCACAAAAGCTCCATAAAATTGTATATTTAACTTAAATCACAAATAATTTAGATTTAAGTTAATATATTGTTAGCATATTTATCTCGAATAAATATATTATATAAATAAAAACATTATAATAAATATCTTTTTTCTTTTAGATATTCTTCCTCTCAGTGTAGTATAAATTACTATATAAATAGTAAATTTGATGATCCGTCTTGTATACGAAATGAAAAACATTCAATCAATTATAATAATTTTACAATTAAAGGTCAAATATATATATACGAAGAGAATATTGTAATCAAAATTTAAATATAATTTTAATAGTCTGAGAATAGGCTAACACTATTGCGAAAATTACAATAAAATTATAATAAATATTATAATAAAATATATAGTAAAATATCTAAAATATTTAAAATATCTAAACATGATTTTTATTACATTTATGGTAATTTTTACTATGTTTATGATCACTTTTACTATGTCCTATTATAATTTTTCATTATAATGTCAGTCTATTCCCGGAGTATTAAAATTGTATAGTAATTTTTAATATTCTCTCTATATAATATTGTTGAAAAGTGCAGTAATTTTAATCGAAATTTTATACGATCCAAAATTACAAAAATTTTGCTGTAATTTTTACTGCAATATTTTCTCTCGTGTGCCCGCGGCGCAACACACAAACACATAAACACGATGCATAATGAATGCGCATATCAATGTCGATTGAGGCTCGCATTAAATCGCATTTTTGAAAGCCGATGGCCTAGAAAAGCGCGCGTATTCGGCGCAATTGCGACAATCGATTATTACGAAAGTTACGAAAGTAACGGCGGCCGCGAATCGTATACAGCGAATCGGTGCGCAGAAGAGCGGAGGAATGAAAAGGCAAACGTAAGGAGGGATATGAGAAGATCGTGACTCTTCTGTGCGACCACTGACCGGGGCTAATAGAAAATTACGTCGGGCGAATTTAATGGAAAACGTCTTATCGCGGATCTCTTCTGCTTGCGCGAGCGGCGCGTCGTGTCGCGTCGCGTTCACCAGAGTCTGCTATCGACTTCGTCATGGTCCGCGGGGAATCGAAAACACGGACCAGCCGCGGTAGGGATGAGCCACTTGGCCGCTTAACAAAATCTATTGTGAAACTGTTTACGATCCCGCGAAAAATGATCGACGATTTCCCCGAAGTCTCGACGATGCCGGGTGAACCCGGCTTTAATTAAACTCTATGTCTCACTCTCTGTCTCTCCCCTTCTCGCGATTTTCGTCCGCTTTTCATATGCCGGATTATAAAGTAAAAGTATAGATATCTGTATAGAAAAAAAGTTGGATTGGATTGACCAAATTTCTAATAATACATGAACCAGAAATTCCAGTGAAATTTAGCGAAATTCTACTCAAATTAACAAGATTTCTGATTAATTTGAACAGCATTCTGGTAATTTTAAGCGGAATTTTCTGGCTCGTTAATATCTCACTAGAAATTTAGTTAACCTGACCAAATGGTTTTTCCCGTGTGAATAATACTAACTCTGGAAATTCTTTTTGCTTTGCTTTTTAAATACGAATATTTCAACTTTCAACGTAGAATATATGTACATATTCAATGCATGTAGTAGAGACCAGGGGCTAAATTCTCTACATTTTAGAATTTCGAAGTTACAACTTCCAGGCAACTAATTGTTGTAACTGACTGTATAAACATAATAGAGACAACTTTCTTTCGTATATTAATGCCCGCCACGACTCTGTTAACCGTATATTTTGTTTTGTAATAAATAAAATACGAACGTGTAGTAACGTAGCCTTACTATTGCATTCAGTTGCCCAGTAAAGAAAAATAAAGAAGACTATATCTAAAATATGTATCCTGATTAATAGCTCCAGGATCTCCGCGAGAGGTTTCCTGTCAGATCTTAATTATAAGCCAACTTTATCTCATCTGCCCATATGCTCTATTTCAATCATTTTATAAATAAAAATTACATTTATTTATTAGCAGAAATAGTATATCATACACTTGCAAGAAATTCCATTCTACCTAGTAACATATCGCCAATTTTATTTAGTTACAATGGAAAATATTAATAGCAAAATTTCGAGAGGTTTGAAAATTTATTTCTCTATTATCAAATCAATTTTTCTTGTATTTTTTAACTTTAATATTCCGATTGAATCTCAGGGAAAAGTATTTATGTTGTAAAAGGACCATTTCGTGATTTTGTTTCCACTATTTCCCTTAATATTAAAAAAATATACATAAATAACATATCTTTGGGAACATATAGATCTCGATTTCTCCTACATACATATATATTCTACATTGAAAGTTTAAATATCCGTTTTTAAAAACAAAAACAATAAGAATGTCGAGAATTAGTTGTCCCTGTTATTAATATCGAGATATTGGTACCTTTACTTCAAATTACGAGATTATAATTTTATTTATTTAATTTTTTATCACCGGAAAACTGCAACGGAACTTCCACGCCTGCTTTAATTCCTTGTACTCCTACAAATTCGTTGTAGCAAGCTCTCTGCCCAAACACGAATAATTTCCACGAAAATCCCGCATCGTGGAGAAATTACGTCGGACAATTCTCGGAGAGTTATTTTCCACGCCGATCGCATTGGTTGAAATTGACGTAGACTACGAAGAATCGAGCCTAGCCCTATCAAGTTATCTGAATTTTGGACTGTATGAATATGGTGTGGTTCTTACAAATGATTCACAAGAAACTTCTCGATCGAGAACACGTCGCGTGATACACTCAAAAAAATGCTTTGCTGCTCCAGGTAGAATTTGAGATGTCACAGTGAAAATTTATCGCTATTGCTTGTATCTTCTAGCAAATTGTTTGTGGTACGTAGAATTTATGGCAGCAGCAGCAACATTTTGCAAGCAAATTTAGGTGGATATGAGGATTATACATTCGTTTTCCTCTCGTTGCTGGTCTTTTTTGTCAACCATAGTAAGCTTTGTAAGAAGTGTGACTGGCCTTAATGCGGACAGACACCACAGAGAAACTCATTTTTATAAAATTTTATAAACAGTTCACATATACAATTCTGTCTCTGTTATCTATATTGATTAGACATAAGACATATGTGATAATATTTGCCAGTTATATATCCATTTTAATTATTATAATTTTTCGTATCTAAAAGATCATTTTTACTATGATTGCAAAACCATTTTTTTAAGCGTACGCAGAAAAGAACATCCTTGCTTGAAAAATATCTTTACCTTTGACGTGTTAATTTTCATATGAAATTACAAAACATTATACGAAGATAGGTTATTTGCATCAATATATTTTACATTTAATTCAAAATAATTATTGAAATTTAGGTTGATAATATTCTTCAATAAAATGATATATTGTTGCTTACATATGAAACAATGATTGTTAATTTGAATATATTAATTTTAAATGGAGGCGTGGGTCATAACACACACATAACAAAAACATGTTTTCAATTCAGTATTTTGTAATTTTCACTAGTGAAAATTATCTTATCTTATCTTATATTATCTTCTCGTTAACGCTACACGATCTCATTCGAAAAGTATTATGCTACAAGTGAAGACATCTTCTAAGCAAGAATATCCTTTTGTTCTGCGCAGAGATCGAACCTGGCGCTATTGATCTCCAGGCGTCGGTGGGACGATGACGTTTCCCGACGTAGGAGTCGATGACGCGCGGCCGGTGTACGTACGCGAAGAAGAATCGGCTCCCAATCCGTCCATCCGTCGTATCTCCGCGCGCTACGATCCCCGGGTCCCCATTGAGACGAGATCTCCGCGTTTATGCCCGTTGCGCGAGCTATAGTTAGCCACGACGTGCGTCTATGCGGCTGGTACACGAGACGGACGATTACGAAGAGCAGCCACCACGTGTTGAGGAGGACCGACTAGGAAGAAGAGGAGAAGGAGGAGGAGGAGGTGGTGGTGGTGGAGGAGTCGCGCTTACACCCGCTACGAGCTCCGACGACACCCCTGCGTTTTTTTCTTGTAGATCATTTTCCACGAGTCTCATCGAGATCCCGACGCGCTTATGCCGTTGCCGCGGCTCGCCCGCCGCGATTTCTGGCCGCCTCGATTTCCGGACGTTAACGCAATCGACGTCGCGTTAATTGTCCGCCCGACTGCTGCATCCGATTATCCGCCGACGATCCCGTTACATCGTTATACCGCGCACACGTTGCAGCGCGTAATTAATTTTCCGAACGAGCGAGCGCTTCTCGCGCGCACTCGCGGCGCTTCTCGCGACGACGGGAGATCGCACTTTTCCGCGCGCGTTGCTCCGGGAGGCTCCAGCGACGCGGTCGCGAATCGGGCCGCCTAATTGCCAGCGTGCGAACGTGCGGAAAACGACCCGCCTCGGCGAGGCTCCCCCGTAAACTGATTTCGCGGCACCCCGCGCACGACACACTATCCCGAAATAGCGCGTCGCCGAAAATAACCGGGTTCAAGTCGCTTGTGCCTGGTCGCGCCGACGAGGGACACCCGGTAGACAGAGGCGGCCGTGCGACTTTCGGTGGGGCGAACGCGCCGGTCGATTTTCTTCACGTACAGACGGCCCCAGAGATTAGGATGTAACAAATCTGAGATTAATGCTTGAGGGGAGATTCGAACGGCCGTCAAATAGGAGATTTCCACGAATGTCTCTTGGCTGGAATTAATGAAGATATCAGTATACGGAAAAAAAGGAATAGTTGTGTCAACTAGAAAAATAATAAAATGTGGCATTAGCTTTTCTTTTTTGGCTTCAAGAATCAAATCTTGGTTGCGCCGACCTACCGATTCGTTGCCTCAGAAATGCATCTTTTCAGGCAACAAATCGCAGTGCTAATGAATAATGTCGCATAAGTCAACGTAACCAAGATATATTAAAAGTCGTTACTTGAAATTTATCCTATATACGTAAGATACTCGAATCTTTACAGTTAGATTTGAATTTTGAAATAGTTTTATAGCTTTAAGAGTTTTACAATTAGATTTGAATTATATAATATATATGATGCTATATTTGTAATTGCGCGATTGAGCTGAAAGCTTGAGTTTTTATTTTTTCTTATTCCAATAATAATCTTTATTCCAGATTACGTTATAATGTTTTCCATCGAGAGGCATCCGATGACACTATTCTCAGTAAAATATCTGAACGATGAAATTTTAATTTTTTTTAAATAATTTGAAAAAAATAATTTTAATACTTGTAATATATATATATACAGGGTGTTCAAAAAGTCCCGGACCGGTGAAATATCTCGAAAACTAAGCATTTTAGAAAAAAATGTTTCAGATAAAAGTTGTGGCGTTTAAAAAGATGTATTT